GCCCTCGCCTAAAGGGCAGCGGCTTGTCCGAGAACTAAATCTGCAGTGCGCCTCCGGGGCTCGTCCGAGTGTTTTTTCTTGGGCCGCAGGTGTTCCGAAAAAACTTTGGGAGCCCGCAGCTGTTTCTAGCGATAACATTGAGCCGCGGTGGTCAAGAAAATAAATCTAGGACCGCGGATGGTCAGTCCATGAAATAACGCCCCGCACCGCCGACAGGGACCGTTAGGTGCTGCGGGTGCTTGCAATGATTGTCTGAGTTTTTACTTTACCTTTGCACTTTCTGGGCAGCCTTCAAAAAATTTTTCTGGATAATGTGCGATAAAAGAAGAAATCTGTATTTTTCCAAAAAGCTCTTCAACAATACCGACCTTTTTCCGAAGTGAAACTGTTAGGAAAGAAAATTATAGAGAAAATATTTGAGGCACCGCGAAGCAAAAATGAGATGTAATGAGACATAATAAAAAAAAATTTTTTTGAAATCTTGTCACACTTCATGTCAACTATCCTGCACATACAGTAAGCATTACAAAAAACTGCACCAATCTTGAGAATTTGTAATTGACATGTCAAATAACCCTTTTGGATCAAGTCTTAGCGATTGAGGATTCTAAGTTTCCATCCGAGTGAAATGACCATTTGAACACGATTAGCTTTCTTTTTAAGTGAGTTAGCTACCTGTTTATGGGCTGTGTACAAAGCACTACTCCATCTTTGCCCACACGAGAAATCACCTTTCAAATAACAACGCTGAATCATAACAGCAGGAGCCCACCAGCGCTCGTTTGTCTCATTTTCCTTCTCAATGGTTCTTTTGCAGCAACTGTTACTCAGACTAAAGTTAGACACAAACTACAGAAAACTAAGAGGTCTGAACTATCGAATATATACATATTTTTGCCACTTTCCCTCGCAATATACGTAGTAGAACAGATTTAGCACTGTATCGTAAACTAATATTTGCCATATAAAAGCAGCGATTGCGGATGAGATGGTCTACTGCTACTGTGAAGAGAAGAAGGTTTAATGGTCTCAAAGTTTTAGAAAATCTAGATGTGTGAATGTTATGAAGGTAAGTTGATGGAGTGGGGCACAACCCCCTAAAGGCAGCGCCGGGACAGATTCTTGACTCCCATATTTTTATGTTATCATTTTAGACCTTTTCATGACATTGATTCCAAACATGGCACTCAAAAAGCGTGGATTCCTTTTCAAGAAGCCATCTTTTCAAGGCTATTTTCGGAAGACCCGGACGAATGCTCTGACGCTATTTTTTGTCAAAAGCAAGCATTAACAGGTAAACGCTATGTGTTCGACAGTGTTTGCCACGTGAAAACACGTCAAGGGTTGAGGAGATTTTGTTCAAGGTGTTGGCGAGGAAGTAGGCGTGGTTTTTGAAGGCACTGTTTCACCAGAATTTGGTTGTCAAGATCCTTGCGTATTGCAAGCCTTTTCGTCCCTGTCTAGAATGCACAAAAAACCCGTTTTTGAAAGCCCGTCAAAGCAACACGGACAGATTGCCTTTTCAGCTCAGCCTTCGGCACAACGGCATCAACACCATGCGGAACGACATGTTGAAAAGCGTAAGGAGAATACCGGGGAAATCGCGCTTTGCGAGCTAGTTTGAGGGCAAATTTCTTGGCGTAGAATCGAGTCGAACCTGGGGTAATCGCTTGAACAGGATGTCCTTTTACATAATATGTGAAAACCGCGCTACCTCAATTTCGGTGAGACATTGCCTTTGAGGCTCGGACGTCTGCCTGAACGCTGCCTTTATAAAGGTGTGGAGGCCACGTTTTCTGAGTTGTGGCGCACCGCCTAACTTTTTTTTGAGAAAAATTCGAACTACATAAACAGCATACGATATCCTAACTCCATAGTTTTCACAGCAATAACTTTATTTAGAATCGCCTTTTTACATATGAGTTACTGTTGCTGAAAGCAAATCATGGCAAGCAAAAATGAGAGATCGAGATCTTGTACAATTCTCAATCACACATTCTGGCGGTTATTCGAAGCAAGTCTCACATGAGCAAAGGCTGAGTGATGTATTGTATTGGATGGGAAGAGAGATGTGAATAGAATTGTTGGCCGCGCGTCACTTTCAAAATGAAGTAAATGTTTTTTTTGAGTATGACCATTTCACTTAAGTGGCCCAATATTTGGGAACCTCAGAATTCGCTGAAAGTCGGTTTGGATTACGTTGATTATGAATATATTAGACATTGTAATTATTAGGTTGGTGCAAAAGTTCTTTCCGCCCAAATTCAAAAATTCATAACTTGTTGAATTCTCAACGAAACTGCAAGATCTAAATTTTGCTTGAGAGAGAAACTCATGCTCTTTGCATCTGTACCTGAACTGTTCGTTAAAGTTTACAACTTAAGGAGATAGAAGCTCAAAACCAAAATCACTCGAAATTTGAATTTTTCGTGTAGGGTCATAAAAAATCGAAAACATGCAACAAAAATCGGAGCAGTAAGTATTGTAGGTCCTTTCACCAGCTCTTTCTAACGGTGCAAAGTTTGCGCTGATTGAGCTCCTCTATTAAAAGCTATGAATTTCGAGCAAGCAATACAAAAGGGCGAATTTGATTTATTTTGGCATTTTTCACGGAAATCATAACTTTTGATAGAGGAGCTCAATTAGCGCAAACTTTGCACCGTTAGAAAGAGCTGGTGAAAGTACCTACAATACTGACTGCTCCGATTTTTGTTGCAGGTTTCCGCATTTTTATGACCCTACACGAAAAATTAAAATTTTGAGTGATTTTGGTTTTGAGCTTCTATCTCCTTAAGTTGTACACTTTAGCGAACAGTTCAGGTACAAATGCAAAGAGCATGAGTTTCTCTCTCAAGCAAAATTTAGATCTTGCAGTTTCGTTGAGAATTCAACAAGTTATGAATTTTTGAATTTGGGCGGAAAGAACTTTTGCACCAACCTAATAGTAAGGACTCATGTTATACCTGACGGTAAGTAAACGGTAGTTCCGAAAGCTTTGAGACACATGTTCGCCTTGCTCAAATTCCCGTCGTATCACAACAGGAAGTTTTGAGTGGGTTTTGAATCATCTAAAATCAAATTCGCCTTTGAGAAAACCCTAAAAAATTAACCATGTTTTCAGAATGATTAGGGTCAAAGCAGTGGCGTACCCAGATTTCCGTTCGAGGGTAGGAGGCGATAGAAATTTTTTTTTCTAATAAAGGTGCGTGGTGTTAGCCAAGCACTCCGAAAAAATTTTTGTATGCTTTCCAAAATTTTTGCGGGTAACCCCGAAAACGCCCGAAAAAATTTTTTTAACGCTAAATTGGATTTTCAAAATGTTTGAAAATTTATTTTAATTATTTACAAGAAAAACAAGTGGCTTGCACAGTTTTGTAACTCATATAAGTGACTTTCAAAAATTTCGCGACCCATTTTCGGGGTGAGGAGGGGGCGGCAGTACATGTTTGGAGAAGTTCTTTGGAATCTATTGGTAGATTTTACACCGCATATCTACGCTATAGCCAGCCCGTCTATAACTATCTTAATGGTCGCGAAGAAAGTAAGAGGAAATATTACTGGGAAAGTGCATACTTATTAACGTTAGTTAATACAAAATTTAAGATTATCCCTGCTGTTGTCCAAAACAAAACCACCTCTAAGAAAAACTTGATTATGCAAGATAGCCGCTTACCTCAGTTTTACGCAACCCTCTAAAAGTGACTAAAATCATGTTAATTGATATAGCTACTTAGATTTTAGGTTGGTGCTCTCTATTAAGCGGGTTTTGTGTACGCAGTCAGATCAGGGCCCGGCATGAGGTGGTCAAATGACAGGCTGAAAATCGTTGGGTGAAAAAACAAAAGGGATATCGTTTTTGCGAAGTTCGGGTTAAAGCCTCTGAAAAATCGATAGCTCATGCTCTCTGCTTATTTTAACATGTTATATGCCTCAACAGGCAAGCAGTGGAGTTCGCGAGCGTTAAACGGCGCTGTCGCTAATTGTCGCACGCGCGACGTCGCCTAAACGATGCTATTTGTAACAAAAGACATGTCTAGTTTTCAATGTACGCATAGGAAAAGAGGCTAGTGAAAACAAGTTGTATAAAATATGGAAAACTTCATTTGAATGGAAGCTGTAATAAACAATTTCTCCAAAAATCTTGCATCACTGTGAATGAAAATGAAAATTCGAATGGCTTGTTTGCAAGGCGCAAATGACGATATGGTATGAAACTTGGTAAGCACATGAACACGGGCCTGCAGGATGAACCGTAAAGTTTCGTTGAGATAGTATGTGAATGAAGATTGTGACAAGGTTTTTTCTGCAAATTTATCGTTAACAAAAATTTTTTTTTGCAAATTAGGTGGGCCATTGTCCGCCCAATGCCCACCTGAAGTAGGTGGGCATTGGGCGGACAAAATTCCCGTTTCAAATAAGTTTCTTGAAATTTTCACATGAATGTGTTCTACACCTAATAGTATATAGTAACGGTTCCAAGGCTCCTCCCTTCCTGCTTGCAAGGATCCGAAATATCTACGATGCCGGTCCCTTGGAAGGAGAAAGCGAGCTCCAATCGAGCAACCTACGCAGCTGGCGGGATCAAGTAGGATATCGTAAAAATCGATAATGGCAAAGCTGTTTTAGCGATGCCCAATTGCCAACCCGTGCTGGGCTCTGAATCAGAACCAGTTTAAATGGTTACAGTAGTTTCAAAGACCTTGAAGTCAGGTGTTCAATCTTACTTGTTAGGATCTTGAAGATGACATCGAAAGTCGATCCTGCATTATTGACACCAATCCTCTAGGCACAAAGGATGCGAAACCATGGGGGTAATTTTGCAGTAAAACAAGGAATTTATAATCGATTCAAGAGTATAAACGTTCCGACCGTAAACGCGATCGGGTACGAACTTGTCCAACTTCCACCTTATGTTAGGGCAAAAAAAGAAAACGCTAAGGACGCTGTGACGATACAATACAAGTCTGATGATAACAGATGCATATTGTAAAAAAGCTCACATTTTCACCACTCAAAAAGGCGATAATGCCAACACAAAATTGCCACATCCTAGCAAATGTGTTGTAGAAAGCAGTGTTGCTGTCAGTAGTGAGATAGAAACCGAGAGAAATACATGTGATCCCTTGAATACCAATTTGCACTCAGACATATTTCAGCTCAACACGACTAACCCAAAAAGAAAAGCACCCTCCGTAAAGGTAACAAAGTTTGCACGAAGAAGAGAAGTGGAGCCAACAAATACCATTGCATCTCGACACATAATGACCAAGTATGAGTAAAGAGATCGTCCGCATTTGACAGCTGAAGCTGTTCATGCATAGGTGTGAAAGTAGGAAATTCGAAGACATCACCATTTTTTCGTGATCCATGGCAGGATCGTTCTCATACAGCCTGAAGTTTGTAATGAGAAATATAGCTCTGCGTAAACTAGGGAAATTTATGAGTCGGAATGAAGGCAGTCTTGATACTACAAGCAATAATATCGCCGCGGACGTCATATAATACAGCGGTAAGATTAGCTTGATTCTTAAACTTTGCCTCTTATCTGTATAGTAGTAAAATAACTTTTAAGATGAAAGATAACCTTCTGTAATAGAAGTTCTGACAAAACGAAGCTGCCATCTCCGTTCTTGTTATGATCATAGCCATAAGAAAGCCAGATACGACAAAGAACCTGAATTTCAGATCAAAGGAAAAGCTTACAGAAATAGTAACATATGTTATTTTTTAAAGGCAGCGTCCAGGCAAATATGAAAACCGAGTACAATGACTCCGATCTTAATAAAGCTCTTGCGCGTGGCATTGCACCAATGTGCTTCTAAAGCGAAAAATCGTTTCAGAAGTTTTGGCTGGAACGTTTCGGGTCCCGAAACGACTTCGCATCTCCGTGGCGGCAGGCGCTCAAATTCAAATCAAAGGTTTTTGAAATACTCCGTTTTTGGTATTTTCGTGCTCTCTAACTTGTATTTTCGTATTCAGCGGAAAGAAGACAAGCCCAAAGCGAAAAAAATTATGCAATTTTTGGACGCTGCCTTAAGAAAGAGAAGTTGCTTACATATCTACTCCAACATATCCATTCGGGCAATAAGCAGGAAAGAAATGAAATGTGACAACCAAAGCAATCGCCCAGCCACGTATCCCTTGAATGTCTTGCCGTTTTTGAGCCATCGAGCTATAAACAATAATTTCTTTAAAATTTACACCGACTGCCTCTAGCAATTACGGAAATTTATCGCATGGGTTTGCAATTCCTTTCTTATGTAATGCGCACTTCTATTCCTGCAACTATTAACGTGCAATAATCAAGAATCGGTAGTAATTTCTCAAAGTTTGATTCGTTCAAATAAACTATTGTTGCTGGTCATAAACTTCCGGCAAATTTTGAATCTGCTCAAGCATTGCGCATCTTTTGTAATATGCAGTCTAAAACGAGGCGGACTGAGGATTTGCTATCGGTTGCCCAAAAGCGTCTTGTACGAACCAATTTTGAGAGCGCTCGTGGAGGAAAAAAAGAAAACGCAAAGCTTGAATGAGATGGTGCAACTACAGAGCGTATCAGTGCAGGGCAAAAAAGCTTGTAATGATACAGTCACAATAAAATTGCTTTAAACAAACACAGGGCCAGGCAATAGGGTGGCAAATGTCGAAGTGAAAATCGTACGGTCTGCCCCAATCGGGATCCGGCCAAACCGTCGGCTAAATTTGGACGCTCGCAGCGCTGAGGGTTTGCGCTGCATACGCGCGTTATCGCAGAGAGCAAAGAGGTTGAGGAGAGAGCAGACTAGCTAGTCATAGACGCAATACTCTCGCGACGCGGGCTCCCGCCATGCACTTTTGGCCTGGTTGGGGCTGGGGCAAACTGTATATTGTTTCTTAGGATGTTTGTTTCTTATAGACTGTATGTGAAGCGAAGAGGATGGATTTTGTTCCCCTATAAATGAGACGCGGCGCAAAAGATAGACTACTTTTTGCAACTTTTTGCTCGATCCTTTTATCATTATTGATTTGTTTATGTACATCTGGGAAAAGAAAAGTCTATTAGACATCCGTCTGAAAAAGGGTGAACGGTAGCGGTACATCCCATTGTGAGTTTTTGCAAGCAAAGCGCAGTGACAAGAAGCGCTTCTCAAGTAGATCTTTTTATACGCTCAAAAATGAAGTATGCGATGCTGCGGTATGTAGGACCGTAAAGCACCATTATGGGCAATTCTCATAAGTGTAAATTCTATTTCAGCATGTATGTCAAAGGCACTGGATATACTGTTGCGAGTTCGTGACTAACATTGGCATAAAGAACCAGAGCATTGTCATCTATTAAATTTATTTGATGACTTAATTAAAGAAAGCTACGTTTTTTGTTGTAAAACGTTGAAATATGGAAGGACCTTTGGACTGTATAACAATATAAGAAAACATAATCTAGGCCACTTCCACTTCTGTCACAGTCCAATTAGTGGATAGATAGTAAGGGGTAGAGGACGCCAATAGTTTCCATTCACGTGGAAATAGTGACGTTGAAGGTGCACGGTGTGTTGCAAATTTTCACCTTGGAACTCCTTTGCGTCCTGATGTTCTCTACACGATAGAAAGCAAGCGATTAGAGGAAGGCACAATGGAAGTTCTGATTGTGGATAGTGATATGCTAGTCACTCCTATCCCACTATGCTTAAGAGAACGTTTGTGGGAGCGAGCGAACCTGTTAAGTTGTAAATTAAGCACGCTATTTTAAGACCAAACAGAAATTTCGAAGTAGCAAGTGTAGATGAGTGTTATACTATTGCAATATGATCTGTCCCTTATTCCATTCATACTAGCTTTTACAGTGTGATTTTATCTACAGATTTGAGTTAGTTTTTTCAAAAATTATGTCAAATGAGCTCCAAATTTAGACTGCTGTAGTTAACAAGTAAAGCATTTTGTTATGGGCATAGATATCATAGCAGGTAAAGCGCTTTGAAATTGATAAACTTGCTGAATCTGAAGAAGTAATGCGAGGCGTAGCCAGTTATGTAAGCTAGTTGGTAATAAAACAAAGGAGATATCTAATTACATCCATACTACGTAATACTTATCATTTTGCTACACGGCTGACATGCAGAAAACTGTCTTGCTCGCGCTTCACCCTCAAAAAATTTCTCTAGCTTAGTAGTAATTAACTGCCCCTTTTGCAGCGCGCATGTAAAGATATGACTCTGAATTTAGTGTATGAACGGGCAAATTAGGAAGGGCATAGTGAAAAGTATCGTGAGATATTTGTGACTAAAGACTTGATATAAGACTGAAGATTCAACAAAATGACTCGTTTGCAATACACAAAAAGCAATTTGGCTCCGAGTCTGGTGTTATATTCGCAACAAGAAGTTGAAAATACGAGAAATCGTAAAATATTCATTCAAATAAAAATTAGGCACAACTTTTTTCAACCTATTGGCACCATATGCGCACCTAATGCCAATGTGAGGGTGGCGAAAGGTTGCTCTCATAAGCTGCTCAAAGTTCTACATTAATCTGTTCTGCACTCAAAGTTTATCATAAAGGATTTTGGGTTCAAATCTTTTCCTCTCATCGTTAAAGACAAAATAGTAATGAGGGCGGTGTCCTCATGGAGCAAAGCGCACTTCAATTAAATGGCTTACGCGGCTAAAACGACTAAGTGGGAAACCGTAAAATTCAAAGGCGGCAAAAGCAAAATCGTTTTTTAGATATCTATGGCACCCTCCTAGCACATCTTTCAAAAGGCGGGCTCTCATGTACCTCGTCGCAGGTACAACAACACACCCCAAAGGCCATTTTTTGAAATTGTTTTCAAAAAATGATTCAAAGGATTATGGTACAGGAAAGGCTGAAGAAAACTAAGAAACGATGTCAAAGAAGATAAAATTTTGTGCATTAGAAAAGTATGCAAATTTGGAGTCCTTCCATGAAAGAGTACGCAACGAGAAGGCGATAGATAGCAGTTTCCAGCTTCAGACTGAGGGAAAGGTTTATGACTGTTATTCTTGCAGATGTCGTCGCGTTGAGGAAAAGCGCAAGTTTCCAAGGCTTTTCCCATATTTATGAGTGGAGACTATTTGTAAGTCAGTCCGTTTTTGAAGGGTTGGAAGAAAATTACAGTCATTGTAGAGGCGGTAGGCAGCAGTGCTGCCTAATGAGCGGAATGTTATGTGCATGTCATTCAAAATATTCGTCAAAGTTATTTGTAGAACTTTCTTTGAAAAGGAAGGAATTAGTAGTTGAAATGTATTCATCCGTAGTTTGTGGGAAAGGAGATAGTTGTCCCCTCAATTGCGTTGACTAACTAAAAGGGAAAAACAAATTTTATTTTTTTTCTTCGGGCTAAGGCTCTTCATTTCTAGGTAGCCTCCTATTTTGATTTGTGTGGGGCTAGCGTTCTAATGCATCAAGTCTAGGTAACAGTGCTATGTTGCTAAGGAAGAGAACAACATAAGTGGCATTGTGAGAAGAATACGTTGTGGAGCCACGTAGGAGGCGCTGAGTGGAGTACATGTACAGAATTTGAATGCGGTATTGAAAAAAACAGATATAGAACTTTTTTGCTCATCATTAGCACATTTCGAAACAAAAATAGTTTCAATTATCAAGCATTTTTATTAACAAAAACCCTTTCCCACTGCTAATGAAAGTTCGTAGAGATCAATGTATTAGTAGGTTTTGCAACAAAGTATGAGAGTCCGGCATAGTCGGACGATCACACTGGTGAAAAAATCCGCTAATTTCTGGCAGACCGCTCTGTTTGTGTTTTCATGAGCAATAAGGGAGGTGACTTCGTAATCACGTTGCAAACACTAGATAGAAAAATCCCAAGAGGGCATCCCTCTGACGTTACTATGTATTAGGCCTAAGGTATACCTCGCGCGATTTCGTCAAATCGCTGTACCCACGAGACTTGGCGGTTTGTCAGATGTATACAAAATAACCGTGCGCGAGTCTAAAAGCAAAAGCTTCAAATCTGGCCCATGCAAAACGCGCTTACGACCAGTTATGAAGAGTCGCTGCAGTGCCAGATCGAGCAGAAACTGAACAGGGTCAAGCAAGGGGTGTGGCACACGATCGCTGGTTGCTACCCCCCCCTGATTGCTGTCTTAATAAGACCCCCTTGAACTATACACTTAAGATAGCACTACTTGAAGGCCCTGTCAAACATAATGGGCAACATATCCATAATTAGCATTTCAAATAACCCCTGTAGACAAAGTGTGAGCGAATTCTGAAGATTCAACATACTTGACTACCTAAGTGAAATGGTCATTTTTCAACATGTTTAACATTGTTTCAAAGGTGAATTAGCTATCCGTTTTTGCACTCAAGACAAAGCACTACTCCTTCTTTGTCCACCTCAGGAATCCCGCTTCAGAAGACCTCCAAACTGTGGAATTAGAAGCCAACCAAAATCTCGTTTTTCCCATTTTTCGCTTTTAATGGCTGTGCTTTCACCAAATATTACTTAGAGCTAAGAAGACGAATCAGGCTCCAAACAGTCCTATGGAATTTACAAGGTTTAGGCTATCGATTCATATAAATATTGTCCGCTAAAAATGTTTTTTCGATATAGTTGATGGGGTGCGGCAGACCCTCTTAAAAGCTGCGGCCGCCGCAGCCTAGAACTCCTAGTTTTCACAGGAGTGATTTGAGCCTGATTCGTTTTCTTTGCTCTGAGTGATATTTGGTGAAAGCACAGCCATCAAAACCGAAAAATTATAAAAACGAGATTTTGGTTTGCTTCTAATTCCACAGTTTGGAGGTCTTCTGAAGCGGGATTCCTGAGGTGGACAAAGGAGTAGTGCGCTGTCTTGAGTGCAAAAACGGATAGCTAATTCACCTTTGAAACAAAGTTAACCATGTTGGAATACGACCATTTCACTTAGGTAGCAGTATCTTGAATCTTCAGAATTTGCTCACACTTTGTCTACAAGGGTTAATTGACATGCTAGTTATGGATATGATACGAATATCATGTTATCACTATCATCAGATTACTCAACTACGACCCCCTCCCCTTTTGACTCCTCAATACGACCCCCCAGGTGTGGCGTGCCGCACTCCACGCTTGACCCTGGGACTGAAATCACATGGGGGTGCCTTAGGCCTTAGGTGGGCCCAAAAGTTCGGTTTTTTAGATGTATTTAAAGAAGTTCAAAATGAATATA